CATATGTGCATATGTACATCTCTCTCTCTTTCTATGTATTAGTAATTAAATAAAATAGTACTCTTTTTATAAATATATTTCTCTCTCTCTCTCTCTCTCTATATATATATATATATATATATATATATATATAAAATAAAATACTTCATTTTTATAAATCTGTTTCTCTATATTTATGTGTGTGTATATATATATATATATATATATATATATATATATATATATATATATATATATATATATATATATATATAAGTAATCAGATGAAATAGTTCATTTTTATAAATCTCTACTCAGCTTCATTATTTTGCATGCAGATTTTATCAAAATTTTTTGGCTGAAGGAATTTTATTTACAGATCACATTTTCTTTTCTATATAAAAAAATATTCCATCTCAAAAAATGAGAATATTGTGAAAGAGTTCAATATTTTTTGTTGGTTATTTCAGATAAAAAAAACTGTATATATTCTCAGCTCATAACATGTAAACTAAAATGTTGCAAGCATTTTTTTTTTTGCAATTTTGATAATTATAGTCTACAGCCCAAAGAGATAAGAAAAACTTTAAAATATTAGAATATTTTATTTTAAGTTTTAAGTAAATCCTAATTTTTGCAGTACAAATTCAATGTATCCACTTGGTTCAGTACACACAACTGCAATTTTGGGAAAGATTGCTGACTTAACAGATATGCAGATGTCACTCATTGACACTGTCTTTATATAGAGTAAATAACAGAAAGTCATTATTGAAAGGGACAGTTGTTTGTTGTAGCAAAGAATGTACATAGAAAGTTGTCAGGAAGAGAAAAGCATGATAGGAAAAGGTACACAAGCAAGTGGGATAGCCATAATATTGAAAGGATTGTCAAGTGAAACTGATTCAAGAATTTGAGAAAGCTTCATACGCAGTGAACTGAAACTAAAATCAGAGCATCAAGAGCCACTCTACACAGACATGTTCAAGAAATGTTACTATATGTGTTGCATACCATGTGCCAAGCCACTCCTGAACCAGAAACAACATCACAAAGAATAGTTAAAGCAAGATCAGAGAAGAGATCAGCAGTAGTGATTTAATCATTTAGATTTTTTAAATGTGTCCATAAACAGTAGCATCATCTACATAGCTATCTGAGAATGTTCCAAGGTAGATTCTTACTGAAAGCAATAAGAGAGTACCACTAAGTAGAGATCTTTGGGCAACACCTACATTGATATTTTGAGCTACAGAAGATTGGTCATTCACAACAACCCTTATTGACCAACCTGAAGAAAATGACTTGATAATAATATAAGTTCCTCCAGAGAATTGGTAATTAGTTTGTGTAGCAACCACTTATGCTACACTGTCAATAGTCTTTGAGATATCTGAGGTAATTATTATGGAAGCAAAAATAGCATTGAGTGATTCACTGATTCTCTGGGTGATTGTAGTCAAAACATCAGCAAGGAATCTAAAGGATTAAAACCTGGACTGTTTGTCCCCCAGGAAATTATTTCTGGTAAGGTGATCTTGTTGATAATACACTGAAAGAGTTTACTGGTGAGACAAAGTTAGTTGATGGGTCAATACTATGATGGTGAGCATTCATAAAGATTAATGCTCACCAATATTCTTGAAATCATCAAACAGCTAACAATTTCCACAAACTTGGGAAATATTCCACTTCCAGGCAGTGGTTAAATAGCATTGCCAGGATTTGATATAACTCTGCACAAAGATTCGTAAGAACAACAGCAGGAATTTTATGTAAACCAGCAGAGTCAAGTGTTTTAATGAGTTTGGAATCTTCCATCCCTGAGATAGTAATGTCTCAAAGCTTGTGTTTTGTTAGAGGAGGAAAGACAGAGGATGGTCCAAATCATCAGGTGTGGACTTTGGGATAAAGTTCATTGGGAAGAAATTAATTTGGGGTGAAATGATTAAAAGAAAAAATTTGGAAGAATACAATAAAGAATACATATATATAGGTATATCCTTAAGTGCTACTCACATTGATATATATCTAATATATACTTATATATATATATATATATATATATATATATATATATATATAATGTGGTGGGGTAACTCTAAGAGTAATAATTACTATTTTATTATGAAGGCTTATGATAATATAGACAGGGGTGGTAGGACAGTATATGTTCAATCTTCTTACCAGGGGGCCCATAATTGTTTTTATGTTTACTACAGTCAAGTAGCAATTTGGAAAATCTATGGAATATTTATAGAGATCAAACAGTGGACATGAGTATATCAGTCAAAATATATTAAAAATATGCTATTTTCAGTATTTTTTAATATAAATACATTGTTAAATTGGAACTATCTTACCACTTGATTTCTATTCCTTTCAGAACCATGAAAATCCCCGTAACTATATTGCCACTCAGATGCCAATGGCTGAAACAGTTGAAGATTTCTGGCAAATGGTCTGTGATGTCCGGAGCAGCACTATAGTAATGCTGAATGATGAAGATTCTATGGATAAGGTAAGATATGCTCTTTGCTAAAAAATCTGTGTTTATGTAGGTTAACCTTGACTAACATGAACCTTGACCTAACATTACATCTTTCCTTCTTGCTCTGTCCTCCTTTTGCATATATTGAGTTCTGCATTTAGAAATTATTTTTGCATGGAAAATTTTCAGCAGATCAGAAAATTATATAAAATTATTTTTCTGTATTTTCTCAGTTAAGAGTCATTAACATAGCAAGACATTGCTTAACCACAGCATTTTGACCAATCCATTCTTCAGCCCCCATCATCTATGAATACTCTATGTATTCTTTCCCTTTGAGAATAGACAATCATAGCTCTCCACAATTCTTGATCTGTGAACTTTCTTTGTCTTTGTACTACTTGTTCTGCTGCCATCCATTTACACAAACTCAAGTATGTTATTTACTGTTTTCCTTTGATGTGTCTTATGTATGTTAAATTCTCCCAGTCATCTTTCCTCATTATGTGAGAAACTTCAGCTGTCTCTTTCTGATTGCTGGAGGTAGTTTCTTTTTAGTTTCTCTCCTCCTCAAAAATTTCCCACATTCTTCGTCACTTGACAGTTGTCGATAGATTCATATCTACTTCAAGACTCTTCTTCACCTTTGTTGAAACTGGACAGTATTCAGTGCCCGATAGGAGGTTAGACATTAAATTAAAGTCTAGCACACTTTGTTCCAAAAATTCCTTAATACATTGCTCAATTTCAAAAAGAATCTTTCTGTGTGCGTTTTGGATCACTGTATCACACTTTTATCTATTGTAACATTATCCAGACAGTAAAATTCCTACATCTCTTTCATTTTGATATCCCTGATGTATAACCCAGATTTCTTTTTGCTTTTATTGATTACCTGATGAAATAGTTGATTGAGACTTCTTTCTGAATTTGCCATGAACACTGTGTAATCTCTGTAGTGCATGACCTTAAGATTACATCTGTCAATAATAAATCCAGGTAGGTATTCTAGTTCTCTTAGAATCTGTAGAGGTAAAATCCAATGAGAATATACACCCTTGTTACACTCTTCCTTCAATTTTTAACAAGTCATTGTATATCTTCATACAAGCTGTTTGTTTCCAATACATTTATAGATTATTTGGATATTTTTCCATATAGATCAAGCTTTCCTAATATTTCAATGTTTCATACATTATCAAATAATTTTGTGTACTATATCAAATGCAGATTTCTGTACTTTCTATAATTTTGTTAGTTGCTCTGATAGTATCCTCTTCATGAAAATTGCATTTTACTTCTAACTTTAATATTTCCAATCCTTTCATATTCTTTTGCATTGTCAGTTTCTCTGCCATTGTGAAATAGTTCTCTAACATATTCACTTGATCTTTGGAGTATTTTTTCTTTTTCTATTTTCAGTGTTCTCTTCTTTGACTTTATACCACCTGTTGATGAGCACACATTTCATCCTAATAATTCTTTTACTCTTTCTTCCATATTTGCTTTATCTATTTTGTTCATCCTTTCTACTTCCACTCATTGAGCCATTCCTTTTCAGCTGGCCTATGTTTGTTTCTAATTTCTGTTCTCTTTTCCATTCTTTGGGATTGTTTATTATTATTTCAAGAATGCTATCAGAGCAAGCAACAAAAGTACAAAAATCTATGTTTGATATATTACACAATGATATTTGATAATGTATGGCATTAAAAGCATTGAAATATGAGGAAAACTTGATCTACATGAAAAATATGTTCAAATAATCTGTAGATGTATTGGAAACAAGCAGCTTGGAAGAATATATAAGTTATTGTCACAACACCTTAAAAAAGCATTAAACATTTTTTATCATTTATATTTTTAATTCAGTTTTTCTTTTCAATCAATCTCTGTGCCGTGCCAAGAAATTTTTCTCCCCGAAATCGATACTTCAAATATACAAATCAACCATTCACCCTTGCATGGAGTATTGCTGCCATATATGGTCTGGGGCACCTTCTGTTTTACCTCGGAGTGCTTGACAAGATCCAGAGACGGATATGTAATATAATTGGCCCTGATCTGGCGTCTCATCTACAGTCACTCTCTCACAGATGCGCCGTCACCTCTCTCTGTCTTTTCTACAAATACTTTCATGGTAATTGTTCCGATGAGCTGCTTTCACTGGTTCTCAGACTCCATGAATTCAAGCGCCCTACGAGGATGGCATCCCGCTCCCACCCTTACACTGTAGAAACTTTTAAATGTAGCCATCTCTTCTACTCCAATAGCTTCATACCTCACACCTCTCGCCTGTGGAACACCCTTCCCAATTACTGTTTCCCTGAGAGCTATAATCTCCAACTATTCAAATGTAATGTCAATCGACATCTCCAGTTACCTTGATCTATCCACTATCCCTCTCCTCATCCTTTCTTCTATCACTCCTATCTGCTCTCGCTCCAAATCTTCTGCAACCCCCTGTGGCTTCACACCTTGCTTGGGGCGTAATGCTTAAAAAAAAAAATTATATAATACAACTTTTTTCACTCCAAATTAACAACAATAACATCTGCTTGACTGTAATTTGGGGATCACAATATAACACCTGCTGCAGATATAAATCTAATCTAAAAAAAATTACAATATTCATATTTCATCAATAGAAATTAGTTATATTGGTGAAGTTTAAGTTTTTTTTTTTTAATATTATACTAATAAAGGGTGTTTCATTACGACGGATTAAAGTCAGCAGTAAATAAATCAGTGTTATTGGTGAAAATTTATTTAGTTCTTTAATGGGTCATGTTAAGTCATGGCAGTTATGTGTGAAAAATAATATTGCCCAAATGTCTGCCAAATCTGAAAGAAATGAAGAAAATCAGTGGACACTTAAACTTAATTCACATTTAAAATTGGTCCAAGTTATTGGAACACCCTTTATAATCACCGATTTTTAATATTATAAAAATTTAAATATATTTAAAATTCAATAATCTATAAACAGAACTATTTACAATTTTTAATTAAAAGTTTCATTAAAAAATACCTTTCCATAGCAGAAAAATTATCTGATGCACTTAATTGAAAAATGTCAGATTAAGTTATATCATATAATAAAGTTCTTAAGAAAGCACAAATGTAAATTTTTTAAAAATAACTTTTTTACATAACATATTTTAAACTAGATACAATATCAATTAATAAATTCAATTGAAAGGATGAAATACTTCAATGCGAATGTTTATGGAAAGGCTACACTTCATGTAAGCATAGTAAGAAGACAGGTAAGTAGAGTTAATGAAAATTGTCAAGAAAAAGTGAGAAATTGAACTAAGTGATGGGCTCTACTATAGCGGGGCAGCTGCTACTGTGAATAAGAATAGAAGAAAACAGTCTGATACACTTATTACAACTAAGTGAAGAAACAGAATTGAATAAACACTTTGAAAGCTTTCAGTGGTGGTAAAGGTCATCTTAGCACTAATCCCTTAACTAATTGTAAAATTGATCCCCAAAATGTTGAGACTCCAGGAAGAAGCAGAGGATATTTGCCTTCCAAGAGTTTATTGAGCAAAACATGAAAGAATTAAATTATTATTATTATAGGAAGTCAGAAGAAAAAATGTAAAAAGGTCTTTTGAAATCCCAAACGACAAAAAGCAATTCTTTTTTAACTCTATGAATACTATGACTGTTACTATAATTGTCAATGCTTAAAAATATGACTATATTTATATTCACTTTTTCTCTTATGTTCCATACCCCTTCAGGAAGTGGGTAATCATGGCTCTCCACGATTTCCTTATCTTCTGTAGCTCTTAGTAAGTTTTGTCTTTTTGCTGTCTCTCCTAATTCCTATTCTGCCAATCATTTACACAAGTTCGCTAGGTAGGTTACTCAGTTTTCCACTGTATCTTTTGTATTTGAATATGTCCTTTGAGAGTCAGCATTTCTCAGCACTCTTTCCTCATTATGTACCCTAGAAATTTGAACTCTCTTTCTGATTCTCAATTAAGTGTCAGTTTTGTTTCCATTTACCCTAAAATGTCATTGCTCACATGGTCAATCCATGGTATACTCAGCATCCTTCTGTAGAACTACATTTTTTTTTACTTAAGTTTCATCTTCATTGCCATAGAAGAGGGCTGATATTCAATAACAGATTTGTACTCTTTTCTTTGTTTTAATGAAATTATTCCATTTCTTAATACTTTCCTTACCTTTTGATAGACATCTTTTGCTATTCCATTTTCTAACTTCTATATAATTCACCTGTTGTGGCCAAAGCAGTCCTTCAGTTCCATGTACTAGATTTGTTCAGCATCATTAATTTCTTAAATTGGAAACATTTATGCCTATTGAAGTAATAAGTACTAAGTTTGTATTTCAATCCAAATTGCTTGGTAGGTAAAGTTTGTTAATAAAAAGTCAACCATAGTTTGTTTTGTTTTTTTTTTGCTTATCTTTTTGACTAAAATACATAGATTGATAGTTCACCAGAAATACCAAATGACATAGTGGATAGGAATTCAGAGAACACAATCAACTAATTGAATCTGAATTATAACAATGGCTGGTTAAGTTATTTCTTTTTTAGTCATATATTTGAGAAATACATGAATCCATTTCTGTATGTATTCTATTGTTTGCCTATTGTCCTTTTTGTCAGTTTTAACAAATGGAGGCCATTATTTATTAACGTCCATTAGATGCTGAACAGCTATGAATTTATTCCAAACAGTTCTAACATGTTTAATCCCAAAGGTAATGATTAATATTCAGCAAAAGATCAGCAAATTATTCAATCACATTCTCCTACATATCTTAATGGAGTATGGTGCGAATAAAATATGTATACTTCATGTGTTGCTAATATCTAAAGTTATTTGTTAACAGATTCTCTTAGATAACAAAATTCTATATCATAAGAGTTTTGATTCAATCACTAGCATAATCTATATACTTCCTTGACAGAGTTCCCTATTGAATTGTAGATAAAATTCAGTGGTTATAGGTTTGTTTTGTTGTTTAATGGCATAACAACT